GTGATTTACTGCTTTTATACTAAACATATTTACTGTCTTTTTCCGTAGTTTCTATCACCTTTTGAAATTGTTTTTTCTGAGTGTAACACTTCAAATGTCACTGAGTATATTTAATTTATACTTTATCTGAAGTCACTTGAAACACTGTGAAATACAGGGTAGGGTGCGTTTTATATATCTATATTTAACGCGCTCTGTTGCTGCAAAAATCGCCAAATTTCGCAGCAAATATCCCCCGTATAAGATCAAAGGCAGTTTCACCAGTCCACGTGGAGTAAAGCACGCCTATGCGTGGACATAGCCAATGAGAATGCATGTATTTCAGAGCTCCGAACAAGTGCAGGTGGCTACTGAAAATTGAAACAGTCAGTGCCGTGTAGCGGTGAATAAACGTGTTTTCTTTAGTCTGTCCGTGTTTTTCCGTAGATTTTATTAGTTTGTGTGTTTTTGACTTTTGAATACTCAGTTTACTTGTTGATTTAATTGTTGTGTTGATTGTTCTTGTGTGTCCTAAATATGGCTCTTTGGAGACCTTGGGAAAATGCTCCAAGCCACGAGGAGATGGTTGATGAACCTGTGCAGGCAGAATTCTTTCATAAAGATTTAGAGGAACAGACCCAAAGAGTAATCCTAAATATGTATGATTGTCTGAAAAACGAAAATCCAGATTCCTCGCAATATCAAATTTTAAACAGAATTTGTATCCTGACAAAAATCAGTCGGTCTACCATTTATCGGGTTATAAAAAGGGGAGATGTAGTCAACCATTCCTTCCACAGAAAGCACATAGGGCAAAAATTAAAAAGAATAGACGTGGGTTTTCAGGAAGATATTCGTCGTATAATATACGGATTTTATAAAGAAAATTTGGTGCCCACGTTGGAAATGATACGGGATAAATTAAAAGATTATCCTGAAGATTTTTATAATTACAAATGCTTAGACTCATTGCACTGTATTGTAAAACTGTGTGGTTTTCAATACAAAAAATTAGATAAAAGAATGGTGATTATGGAGTCGTCTCGAATCGTTGAATTGCGCCAAGAATTTTTGCACAAAGTTAAAATCTATAGAGAGCAGAAAAGAAATCTGATTTACCTGGATGAAACGTGGTATGATACCCATGATGTTGTGCAGTACGGCTGGGTTGACGACAGCAACAAGTGCATTTTAAATGCACCATGCAACCGTGGAAATCGAATCATTATTCTCCATGCTGGCAGTGAAAATGGATTTATACCTAATGCCTTGCTGTTATCTGCCAAAAATATCAAAGAATCATGTGCCGACTATCATGAGGATATGACCTCCGACTTATTTGAAAAGTGGATAGAGCAGCAGTTAATACCAAACATTTCCCCAAATTCAGTAATTATTATGGACAATACGCCATACCATTCCCGACAGAAAAACAAAATTTCGAATACAGGCACAAAAAAACAAGACATTATTGATTTTATGAAGGATAAGGGAATGGAAATACCACAAAAATCAACCAAAGCCATATTATTGGATCTTATTAAAAGACAAAAATTTGAAAAAGAGTATGTTGTTGACAATCTGCTTCAGCAAAATGGCCATGAAGTATTACGTCTACCTCCCTATTACTGCATTTCTAACCCGATTGAGTTGGTCTGGGCTGCTTTAAAGAAAAAGTAAGAAAACATAATCAGATCCCTCAATTAAGTGAATCGCTATTGGCCACAATAAGAGATGCAGTATCTCATATTGCTGCCACAGACCTATGGAAGCAGTGTTCTAGGCATATTATTGAAAAAGAAAATGAATATTGTGTTTTGCCTCCTGTAAATCCCGTTGTAATTCCTCTACAAGATGACTCTAGCGACAGCTCCGAAGGCGAGGATGATATATAAATACCTATAATGTAAGTCTTTATATACCTTTTTATATTCCTACCTGCTATGTAAATATTTGCCTATGTCAAACGTTGGAATTCTGTAATTTTTCCATTTCTTAACTTTCAGTCAACATAAATTAAACTCCCAATATAAGTATTTTTTATCCCAAATCAAAAAAATAAGAAGATAGTAAAATCCATTTATTGTGATATAAAAACATTATTATTATCGTTCTAAATAAATGACCGCACGCCTATGATACGTCATGAAATTACAAAGGACGCGCCGACCAAAGGTTTTTATGCTATTTCAAATGACTTCAGATAAAGTATACTTATCCCCATTTCTGTTTGAGGGCAATCGTACAATTTTGATTAAAATGCTCGCACTAACGATGTACAACGAAGCGCACTCCGCGCTCGACCATTATAAAAATCGAAAACAAATAATTAAATTATGATCTCGGGAACAGGTGTGCTCGCTATTCAGGTACTCTGCTCCAAGTTACATCATATCCAGCCATGTAAACAACCGACCGCGCACTTGTTCGGCGTATTTTACTTTTAGCGATGACCGCGTCGTCTGCCCGGCGAATAATGAAGCACTCTAGGCGGGGCATTATGTAAAGGAGCGGGGATTCATGTATTAGCGATCTCGTTAGTTGATTAGGAGAACAATGTATTGGAGAAGCTCGAACGGTCTGAAATGAGATATGGTTTTTGGATGCTCTATGACAAATACATCACTGAAAAACAAAGTCACTCATTTCCGTCAGTCTATCCGTCTTCTAAACGGTGAACTTGGAAAACAGTCCAGAGGCGGCGAAGCTAGGGGCAAAAATATGAAAAAAATCGCTACATATACAGGTACGTTCAAGGGTATGTGTTAAACTGGGACATTTAAAACGTATATGTATACAGGGTGCTTCAGTTTATTGTTGCATAACCTTAAGATTCGACAGAACTTTTAAAATTAATGCAAAAAGTCTATATAAACATGGGTCGAAAAATGCGTGGCTTCCGAAATACAGGGTGTTTAAATATACTTTCTAAAATAGTTTTTTTTTAAATATTTCGAACAATATTTGATGTATAACAGTGAGAATTGGTATACAACGTTTTTTTGGGACGACAAAATGAACCATGGACATAGTTTTACTGTAGCCGCTAGAGGGCGTTCTCTACTGTACCTGTATTGTATTAAAATGACCGAAAAATTTTTCTTAGTGCAATTTTTTGCTTTTTAAATAAAAAAACTGATTCTTCGCACTTTTCAACATAAAAAAGCTATCTTGTAAATTTTCGTTATAGTTAGCCGTTTTTGAGATATTTCGATTTTTGAGGTTCGATGCATTTTTAATTATTTATGGAAAAATAATATTTTTTTTACATTTTCGATTTGGGCATTACAAGTAATTAAGATGATCGTTTAGATTGTGTTTTTAAACACAGCAATAATTCCTATCTCCAAATAAACACAAAAAAACATAATATTAATTCCTGATTCTGTCTATTAGCATATTTCTTGTGGTTACAGGAGTCTAGTACACTTTTTCTTTTAGAAATCCCCACACAAAGAAATCTAATGGATTCAGGTCAGGGGATCGTGGAGGCCAGGCGACTGGTCCTCCACGGCCGATCCATCTTTCTGGATAATTTTCGTCCAGCCAGTTTCTAACTATTCTCGAATAATGAGCTGGACAACCATCAAGCTGGAACCAGGCCAATCTTCCTAAATCTAACATAACATCATCCCACATATTTGCATGTTCAGCCTTTAAAAATTCCAAGAAGGTCGCAGCATTTAACCTTGCAGGCAAAAGGTAGGGTCCAAATAGTGGATTACGGTAGATACCAATCCACACGTTCACACTAAATTCATGCTGAAAATTTCTTTCCCGAACTGCATGCGGATTTTCATGCGACCAAATATGTTGATTTTTATAATACTTACAAAAAAAAAACAGGTAAAAGAAACTAAATTTCGTGCATTCACAATTGCAAAAAAACGTTTCAGGTTTCAACAGACAACAAAACTAACTGTCAACTAATTGACGTTTAACCTTATTCTGCTTTCAATTTCAAAAATATTTGCAGGCACAGCCTACTTCTAAAAATTATCGAGATACTGACTTTTGAACGTTATTTTATCATAAATAATTAAAAATGCATCGAACCTTAAAAATCGAAATATCTCAAAAACGGCTAACTATAACGAGAATTCACAAGAGAGCTTTTTTATGTTGAAAAGTGCGAAGAATCCCTCTAGCGGCTACAGTAAAACTATGCCCATGGTTCGTTTTGTCGTACCAGAAAACCCTTGTATACCAATTTTCACTGTTATACATCAAATATTGTTCGAAATATTAAAAAAAAACTATTTTAGAAAGTAAATTTAAACACCCTGTATTTCGGAAGCCACGACTTTTTCGACCCATGTTTATATAGACTTTATGCATTAATTTTAAAAGTTCCATCGAATCTTAAAGTTATGCAACAATAAACCGAAACTCCTGTATAAATGCTTTTGTAATAAACAAAAAACTTTAAACTTATAAAAGGTTTGTTACCTTTAGATATATGCAAAGTATGTACATACATATATGAATGACATATACATATGTAATAACAAACACAAAACAATGAAATAAAAAGTCACTCTAAGGACTCAAACAGTCATATATGGTCGTTCGTCTGCTGTTTTTTTTTTAAATGACGTCTTGAAATCGTATTTCTAATTTAGAAAGAAGCTCCAAAGACTCTGTATCTCCCTGATTTTCGACAAAGCTTTTGAGCTGTTGGTACTGGAACCGAATAGACTTCGTAAAGTTCTTGTATTTCGACTGAATTTTCAATTCCTTGGCCTGAACCTAGATCTTCAAGATACAAACTTTCATCTACGTTGAAAAAAGCATAAAGTTTTTTCGTCCTTATGGTAGAATTATTATCTGCAATGTAGTAAGCACGTACAGTTATTGATGGGTCATGGACTAACAGACCGCCGGAAAAAGTGGCTATGTTTTTCATGAAATATACTAACTAGAATTCGAAATTGTGCATAGGAAGTAAAACTAAAATTTTTCTAGTAATAATAGTTTGTTCTCTATTATCTGTTATTAGATATTAGAATCTACCTTTTTACCTGCGGGTATGCTATTGTTTCAGTCAGTAACAGTCAACAGGTACTGGTCCTGAAAAAAAAAATTAAGCATCTTTAGTGAAACGATCCATGAGAACTTGACAGAATGTAGAATCAACATCATCAATACTGATCGCAGGATAACAATCCATATAAATATAATTCATAACACTATCAGTCAAACATGACAATTCTCGAAATGAAACACCTTATCATGAAAACCGTTATACAAATCAAATCTAAGCCAATCTCCTTCATACTAATGCAAAATCATTGGGGGTTTAGCCTGGTTATCACAGCTACGACATTTCTTATCAGTATAAGAACACTTGATTATTGGTCACTTTATTCTCTATTTTTACCCTAGAGTTGACAAACATCAAAAGTGTTTTACAATCTACACTTAAGTCAGAAGTGGGTAACCAGAGTAACAGGACTATGTATGGAGCGTGATCGCGTTTCTGCACAGTTTGCCACGCCATTGCAAATCTTCGACTCGTCTGTAGATGAATCTCCTGTCATATAGATCACTTCCATGGAAAACGCTGGAATGTTTCTCCACTCGTCGATTGGGGAATAAATACCCGACCAGATGGCGGAAGCAGTCAGTCACAGTCGAGCGGGCGATGACTCACCAAGAGGGGGGGACGCGTTAGTCTGGTCGACATGGTTACAAATATGTCATAAATTAGGCGCGGGACAGTAAAAATCGCACAATAGCTGAGTTAACAGAATAGCGGCGATTTGCTGGTAAAGTGTAAAGTTTATCAGTTCAAAAATTTCACTTTTCCAACAACTCTGATATCGAATGAAGTTTCTCACCTTCCGAATTAACTAGCTCAATCTTCTTTTATAATTGTAATTTTTAAACTATATACTCGTAACACGTTACATTTCGACGTATTTCGTAATTACGTAACGGATTTTTTTTTCGGATACATGTAGCTCGTGAAAAGCGAAGCCTGTATTATAGATTATGTGGCGACAAACTAAAAAAAATACACCGTAGGGCCGGAAAACAGATTCATGGGACCATATATGGAGCGTGGTTGCGTTTCTGTACAGTTTGCCACGCCATTACGAATCTTCGACTCGTCTGTAGATGAACCTCCTGTCATCTAGACCACTTCCATGGAAAACGCTGAAATGTTTCTCCATTCGTCGATGGGGGAATATATACCCGACCAGATGGCGGAAGCAGTCAGTTACAATCGAGCTTTTGACAGCAGGCAATGAGTTGACAAACATCAAAAGCGTTTTCAATCTACCCTTGAATGGAATTGGAACTCTGGGTACAGATAGCCAGAAGTAGGTAACCAGAATAACGGGACTATGTATGGAGCGTGATAGCGTTTCTGTACAGTTCGCGACGAGATTGCCCTTCGACACGTCTGCAGATAAATCTGCTGCCATCTAGACCACTTCCGTGGAAAACGCTGAAATGTTTCTCCACTTGTCGATAGGGGAATAAATCTCCGACCAGATGGCGGAAGCAGTCAGTCACAATCGAGCTTTTGACAGCGGACAATGAGTTGACAAACATCAAAAGCGTTTTCAATCTACTCTTGAATGGAACTGGAAACAAATATGTCATAAATTAGTTGCGTAATAAATTAGTGTAGAGTAATAAATTAGGCGCTGGATAGTAAAAATGGCACAATAGCTGATTTAACAGAAAAGCGGCGATTTGCTGCTAAAGTTTATCAGTTCAATGATTTCACTTTTCCAACAATCCTGATATCGAATGATGGTTCTCACCTTCAGATTCAACTAGCCCAATCTTCTTTTATAGTTAATTTTTAAACTACATACTCGTAACACGTTACATTTCGACGTATTTCTTAATTACGTAACGGATTTTTTTTTCGGATACATGTAGCTCGTGAAAAGTGTCAAAAAAAATACACCGAAGTACCGGCAACCAGAATTATGGGACCATATATGGAGCGTGGTCGCGTTTCTGTACAGTGTGCCACGCCATTGCGAATCTTCTACGCGCCTGTAGATGAATTTGCTGCCATCTACATCACTTCCATGGAAGTTCGTGAAAGCACTGGAATGTTTCTCGACTTGTCGATAGGCAAATAAATACCCGACCAGATGGCGGAAGCAGTCGGTCACAGTCTAGCAGTCGACTGCGGACGATGGCTCATCAAGAGAAATATCATAAATTAGTTACGTTACAAATAACTGTAGTGTAATGAATTACTATGGATAGTAAAAATGGTATAACAGACGAGTTAACGTAAGAGGTGCTTGTGAAGTTCAAATTCATCAAGATTTCACTTTCCAACAACACTGATATCGAACGAAGGTTCTTACTTTCAGATTCAACTAGCTCAATCTTCTTTTATAGGTCATTTTTAAACTACATACTCGTAACACGTTACATTTCGACGTATTTCGTAATTACGTAACGGTTTTTTTTTGTCGGATACATGTAGCTCGTGAAAAGTGAAGCCGGTATTATAGATTACGTGCCGACAAACTAAAAAAAAATACACCGAACCGCCGTTCGAGTACCGACGAAATTCGAGGCGTGTAAATGTCCAAATCAACACCATTACCTAATACCATTCGGCGCTTACAAAGTGAAGGTAACGTTGTCTATGAACTTGTGACACAATTCTTAACCGGTTATGTGTACGAGTAATTATGTGTATTTGAACTGTACTAAGTGAAAGAAAGAAGAACACCCAGTAGTAACGAATTGAATACATTTGCTGGGTATATAATAATGATAATACTAATAACAAACTTTGTTGTTATTGTTGTCTTCGGGGCCATCCACTGGACAGTAGACGAGCTGCGTTAACTCGAAAACGGACGAATAAACTATGAAGTTTGCATCGTAAGTCCTCGGTTCGACCATCCACTATATCAGGGAGCTTTCCATTTTAGAGCAGCGAGAAGAGCTGCCGAGAAACTCAGTCTCATACTCGACTTTAAGCGGGAATGCCAGCAGTCCATCACAGAGCTGCTCAACTGAAAAACTACTAACTCAAATTTCTTATTAAGGCTTCATAGAGACAAGCATCTTCTACACTACAGATTCATAGACGAGCATGGCTTGTCTAAGCAGTTTACCTTCTCATTTCTACGGTCTAGTGGGTTAAAGTCTGACACTGAGGGATTCCTTGTGACTTGCCAAGATGGTGTACTTAATACCTTGATATACCGAAGTAGGATGTACCCGATACCAACTGCAAGGCATGTCGAGAGGTGCCATACATCCCTTGTCAGCGTGTAAAGTCCAATGCAGCTCTGCAAGTGCTATTCTGCCATTTAAGGCACTCCTACGGGGTGTGCTGCCCTCCAGGGGATATTGAGTCTGTTACGGAGAACTGAAAATGCCGGATTTACTGATACTACTGCTAATAAAGCAACTTGATCTAAAGAGAATTGAGTTTTGCTACCCTGTAATGTTTGCTCCACTTTGTTATTTATATGGGTCCAGAATCTGATCGTCCACTTACAGAAACTTATATTCCTAGACAAAAAAAGAGTTGAAATTTATTAAAAGTCCTCGCCATTTTGTGGAGCGATTTGAAAATCGTTTACAGATGAATCGTTCTATCACAAGAAGATCCTTTTACAGCTCTACCTATATCCCCATCAATGCTATATTACGTGATAAAAAGTATTCCACAAATTAGTTCAGATTTCTTCAATCCTTTATGCAGGAAATTCTCACATTTATTTACATATCTAAATGAATTATGAGATAAATTAATACGGGTGATTTACTTTAATGGCCTATCCACTCACTTCATCATATCCTTGGCCAGCTGCTCGCCAATTTGAGGATCTATTGATATACTTCTTATGACTAAAAACGAGTCTTATTAATTTATTCCCAATTTCTATAATAAATTGTGTCTGTGAATATTGTAAACTGTCATATTTTTCATAGATGCACGTACCATATCTTGGTGATTTAAACTCTTTCAAAAAAGAATGTCAGTTTTATCTGATAAATATGGAAGTGAAAGCGAGAGATGGCTCTATTAAAATGTGTTGTCAGTTTCAGTATGGTCGATTTACCTACATATACAGGGTGACTTCGAAGTTGAGTCATTTATTTTAACAGTGAGTAGATCTGATCAAAAGAAATGTTTTTTTCCTTTACCATTTTTCTGGTAAAATTAAAGTAACAAAGTTATAGCCCTTTGGAAGTTTGAGTACCGCCCTGTCTCAATAATAATATTATGTGCTCGTGTTTGGCAACAACGGATATAATCCGCCTTATCGGTTCATCGCATCGGAAACAAAAAAGCGAAAGAATTTGGAACGATGTTTTTACAATTATTTTATTCAGTTGTATACAGTCAGTGTCAGTCGGTAACGCGTGAGTGAATAGTGGTGTCTGTTGCATGGCTCAAACGAAATCAAAAATGGCACATGTTTACGAAAACGCTGAACTCGAGGACATGATTCTTATTTACGCGGCATCACGGATTTATGCGGATCGGTTTCCCAATCGAGTGCAACCAACCCCTCGTGCCTTTGTTAATGTAGTACAAAGGGCTCGTGAATCAGGTGACTTAAGACCTCACAGGGGAGGGCATGCCGGTGCTCCAAGACCTTACGATCAAATACAGGTCCGCACTGAAATACTTGTCGGGAGGATACTTTATAAAACAAGGTAGACATTTTTTTTCAATTTTTTTACACACATATTTTGGTTTATCTTCCTTCTACAATCATTATCTGAAAATTAATGACTCAACTTCAAAGTCACCCTGTAGAAATGGCTCCACTGTTTTCAAAGCTCTTTGGAGCTTTTTAAATCTTCATGTCGTTTTTTTGTTTCTTGTATCATTTTATCAGGTATCAGGTGTCTGTAATTTATTAATTTTCAAATTTGTTGTTACGCTTTTTGTGCCCTATATCCTACTTGCCTGTTGCTCCACTCTCATTTTATAAACAATTACATGGTTGAACTCACCATACCAATATCGCATTGTTTTTGTGGTAATAAATACAAATTTATAGTAGCACTGAACATTCCCGGCATTCCTTTCTACGCAGTCTGCATTCTTGTAATTTCGCAACTATATCTAACAATCAAATATAAATTGTAAGCCAACGCTAAGAGCAAATCCGTGATTGATGAAAATGATGAAACCTGATCTATTTATAAAAGCATTGAATATTCTAAACCGCCTCTTGTTTTCATTTGTTGTTGCAACTCATTTTCAGTTGAA